TAAGCCTCATGAATTCTTTAAGATAGTAGAAGCTATAAAAGCATTGAGATTTCACTATTGTTAAAAGACATCCTATGGGATTCTAATATTTACTTCATAACATATTTTATAAATAAATTTTTTTAATAAATTGATTAAGGTTGTTCTCAAGCATCTCAATCAATTGATTTAATAATAATCGTAATGACGCTCAAGCATCAAAATTAATAATGATATTAATAGAATCAAATACTTGAGCATACTCTTTTTCTATTTTTCCTAATCTTCATTATGCTACTTAAAACAACTAAAAAATCCAATAAAAAAAATTCTACACAACTGGCTGCCAAAGCTTCAGCTTTGATTGCATCAGCTCTTCTTTTAAATAATTTTACAATTTAAATTTTAATCTTTTGCTACAATAACAGCAGAATAAATTTGTGGAGTCATTAGCAAAAGTTGCTTTATAGCAACAAGAGGTAAATTTTTTTTGTGAATATTAATATTAATATATATTTATTATATATTTAAATTCTTTTTCTTAGGCAATTTATAGTAATTCTGCAGTTGCTACCCCTGTTGAACAAACTATTTCAACTTCTTCTACTATTGCTAATTCTGACATACCGATTAGCACTAATAAATTATCAAATTGGTAGATGTCACCTGAAGTTCAAGTACTTATTGAGGAGGTTGGAAAGTATCTGAAAGCTTTACAAAAAGTTAAAGATCCTCAAGAAAAAGAAAGAATTTGGAATACTATCATTTCCAATTTACAATCATCAAGCATTGCTAGTTCAGTTTTAAAAAAATGCTCCAAAGCATTAATCCAACAAAAGTGAGATGCTCTTTTTCAGAAATATCGTGACATTAAAGATACTATAACACATACTGGAGAAGAACCCTTACAAAATGAATAGGAGATTTTTTATGATATTGATAAATTTTTAAAATCTGATCTAAGAGTTGAAGCATCGATTATAAGTGATTCTATTCAAGGTATTAAACGCAAAGCAAAAGAAAGTGAGAAGCAAAATGCGGATAAGCAAGTAATATTATTTTTTTTTTATAATTTGAATTATGTATTTGAATATTACTATATTAATTGTATTATATTCTTTTTATATTATAGGCTGTTCCAAAAAAAATGAAATAACAAACAAATTAGTGAAAGAAAAATAGCATTGAAGAATTTCAAACTCTTATTAAAGAGTAAACTGTGGCTATTATTGAAGTAATAGATTGTCAGCATGTTCATACTATAAAGATTTAACAGAGACAACACAAAGAACAAATGGAATACTTAAACAATTTTTTTTTAAATTTTAATATTATTGCATTACATCATGCCTCAGACAGCTTCGTCAAGAGATTTATATTAAAAAGATTTAATAATTTATAAGATAATCTGCTAGATATTCTCTTTTATAAATACTGCTACTATTTCCTCCTCTTTAGTAACTAGTTTATTTTCTGTATCATTCTGATTTTCATTTTCTTTGATTTCACTATTTATTTCAATATTTTCAAAGAATAATAAATCATTATAATCAATACAAAAATTATGCAAAATGCAACATGCATGAATTATCCTAACTATTCATTCTATATAATTACAATAAATTTTATTTAATAAAATCCTCCATCGTCCCTTTAAAATCCCAAATGCTTGTTTAATGATCATCTGCATTGATGAAAGAGTTTTATTAAAATGTCATTCTTGATAATTCAAAGAATCATGATTTGTAAATGCCTTAATTAGATATGTTCAAAGAGGATATGCTGAATCAGTGATAATGTAAGTACCTCCTGGAACCCATTGTTCTGGATGAAGTTTAATCTGATGGTAAAGAATAGTATGGCTAAATACACAAGAATCATGTACACTTCCTTTCTTTTTTATAATAAATTTTTATTTAATGAATATTAAATATACAGTAAATAAAATAAATAATTAAATAATTTACTACTTGCTTCGCCAACATGTATAAAAGTAAATCATCCCTCATGATCAACAACTGCAAGAAGGTTGATCAAATGAAAGTTTTTGCAATTTACATATTGGGATCCATTTTCGGAAGGAGGATGAATAGGGATATGTGAACCATCCATAGCACCAATAACATTTGGTAGTCTCTAGTTTTCTAATCCAATTTCTTCACATTCAAATCCTTGAATTACAGTCGCTAACCTTGCTCCCCGTGGCCATGCAATTCTGTCTGATTCCAAGTCTAATAATGCTTCTAAAAACTAATCCGTAAAATGGCTAACTGACCCTTGACTTACTCCTAAAGTTTGCTCCAATATTCTTATTCCCACTCCATTTGCTAAATGCCATAATACAATGGCAATTTGTTTCCATACGGGGGTTGCATTAGGTGCAGTTGCACTAAAAGCAGGGTGGTTTTCTAATCGTGAAACAATTGCATCGAAAATGGCATAGGTAATACGAAAATGTTTTCGAAATGAGTTATAGCTTTCATTATCTGTTATATATGGGAAAACGTCTACCCAAAACCCATTAGTTTTGGGCCTTCCTTGCTGAGGAGCTTTTAAATTTAGATGAGCGAAGAATGGAATAATAGTATTCATTACGGTTTGGTTAAATGTTAAAAAATGTGTTGTATTTACTACATTCGTATCAGGGTATCGATTTGTTTTAAAAGCTTCTATCATTAAAAATAAAACAGCAATTTTTTTGGATCGGTCACAAATTTGTTGAGAATTCATTGTTTATTAAAATAAATGTAACAGTAGTGCTTGAGCGACCTTTATCAATGGTAAATTTTTTGAGAAAAAAGGTGGTTTGTATCTCACTGATTTTCTCATCGAATTGGTAACTCCCTTGATTCATTTATTCAATTTCCGACTAATTAAAAATTTGCCCCGATCAATTGATTTAGGTGCTTGAGAACAACCTAAATAAATTAATACTGGCGAGTATATCATAAGGTCTACATTTTTGTGTATAAACTATTGAAGTAGTGATGCAAATTACCGGCTCCACACGGTTAACAGCTGGCTACAACAGAGCTGAGTCATATTTTAGTTAAGCCGTTTTTTAGCTGAGCCATTTTTTAGCTAGCCGTTCAAGAGCCGATGGCTCTAAATTGTATTGTTATATTGTTATAGAAAATTTATTTTAATTAAATTCATCGTTAATACATATACAGATATTTCAGTAATTAATAATTTGCATATGTACAAAGCAGCACGATTGTATAGAAACATAAAAAAAAAAACATTGTTATATCGTTATAGAAAATTTTTTTCAATTGAATTCAGCGTTAATACATGTACAGATATTTCAGTAATAATTTGCAAATGTGCAAGCAACGATAGTATAGAAACATATATAAAAAAAATTATTGTTATATCGTTATATTATCAGAAGTTTTTTGCAAAGTGTTTTGTAAATTTTGGGAATTAATATAAAAAAGGTCTTAGGCAATTATTGTAAGTATCAAAAAGAAAAAAAAATAAATTTATAATAGTTTACAAAATATTACGACATATTGTTATAAATACGAAAGCTTATTATCAATATGAAAGTTTATTATCAATACAAAAGTTTATTATATTAGTTATAACAGTTAATATAGTGATTACAACATACGTATTAGAGTCCTATAATCGGCTCACGACTCTAAACCGGTTCGGCTAACTAACGGCTCAGCTTGTATTACGTGGAGCCGTTAAATAACTCGGCTAAGCCGATCGGCTTACGGTTCTGCAGAGCCGTTTTGCATCACTATATTGAAGTACAACCCACCACATGACAATAGTTATCGTTTATGTGATATGATCATGTAAAAATTTTTGCTTTGATATTTTTGTCATAAAATGACATCATCATTTATGCAAAATTTCACGACAAAAATTTCACATCCTAATATAATATAAACAATAACATCAATATTGGACATACAAAAATAACAGCGAGTTTTTTTCATCATACGCCCAATATCTTATAATTAATATAGCATTTAAAAAATCTGTGCTAGGTATGCATGTCACTGTAAAGCCGTGATGAAAATTTTCAAACTTTGAGTGAAAATATTTCAATAACTATTTATCTAAAATCCATATAAATTTTTGTACCAATATAATTAAAATAAAAAACTTTTTATTAATTTTTGATAAGTAGTTATTGAATTATTATCGCACAAAGTTTGACAAAACTTAGTCGCGATCTTAATTTTGATAATCGCCCAAATTTTTTTTGAACTTTGAGCGATGATATCTGAATAACTACCTATATAAAATCGATAGAAATTTTATTTTAATTATATATATATATAGAATTAAAATAAAATATTTTTATCGAAGTTTAAATATGAAACTATTGAGATATCATCGCTCAAAGTTCAAAAAAAATTTGGCGATTATCAAAATAAAGACCGCGGCTGCGATGATATCTCAATAACTACTTATCTAAATTCGATAAAAAATTTTTTTTATTATAATTTTATTGTTTCATATAGTTAAAATAAAAAATTTATATCGATTTTAGACAAGTAGTTATTTGGATATTTTCTTTCAAAGTTGAGATTTTTGTCATAACTAAGGTACTTAGACAATCGTTACATGATGATCAGCAACATGCATAACCTAGCACAGATTTTTTAAATGCATTAATATAAGCTTGAAATTAGAAATGAGCCTATAAAGTGTTTAAACTTTAAACTTAACAAAAGCTTAATTCATAGGCTATATAAAATAATCATTTAAAAAAAACTTATCAAACCACAATACAACTGACTTTTGATATAGGATCCAGCCTAAATATTTCTTTTTATATCATGATTTCTTATAACAAAGACTTTTTATTATAAAATATTCAATTGGAACTTACAAAATCTATCTTATATTAAAGAGTTGCTTATATAGAAGGGTTCTTATTCAAATTCATATAATTAAATATGAAATGAACTATACAATAAATTGTCAAAAAACGAAAAAGTATCAACAACTTAGAAAAAAAAAAAAAAGTTAACAAAATGAAGAACTTATACCATTCCTTATACCATTGCTTTAATATAGTTCAAAATAAACATAACCAAAATAGTAGTAAATGGGATAGTAAAAATATAAGCATAAAATAACAAAACCGAAAATTCATCTTGATAATTATTAGTAAGTTGTGCTATATTAGCACAATTTATAGCAGGTGGACCAGAAGAAATTAAAATTAAAACAAACCATAACATAGGATCATCTATATAATAAGAAGTAGTAAACATGACCAACAAAATTCCAATAATTGGCATTAATAACAACCGACAAGTTAATATATAAGCAATTATAGAACCAATATTTTCATTACGAGACCGTGGAAGATTATATAATTGAGCACCAAGAGTTAATAACGTCAAAGGAATGGCAATAGAGCCAATATAATCAATTGCTTGAAAAACAGACATAAGAGGAGAGTCATCCTCGGCAAATAAATAATTTGAATTTGGAATAGCAATAACTATTAAAGCAAATAAAGCTGCATATAAAGGAGGATTCATGAATTTGAAGTTGAAGAATATTACACCAGCATTTTGTATTAATAAAGAAATTCTTTCATTTATTTGATCATTGTTAGCTTGAAATATTACGCGAGAATTTGGTCTTAATAGAAGAGTTCTTTCAGTTATTTGATCGTTGCTAACTTGAATTTGATTAGAAGGACTGTAACTATTTTGTGGAAAACATTGTAGGATGGATGGATCATCTTTTTCAGGAACCTTCATTAGCAAGTATGCACCAAGAGACCATCTACAAAATAAAATAAAATATATATTAATTCATAATAAATATATATAATATATATTAGGCTACACAAAGTTGATTTCTTTTTCGTTTTGCATTACATGGATTTCAAATTCTGATCGGGCATTCAGATTTTTTTATTTTTTATCTGGAAATTATGGTTTCCATCAGATAAACCAGTTAAATGCTAAAAATCGAAGAATTGCACCCAAAAAAAAAATTAAAAAAGAAAAAAAAAGAGTTGACAGTTAATGCAAAACGAAAAATCAACTTTGTGTGGCCTTATATTAAATTTATATTATCAAAACAAACCCTAGTAAATTAGCCAAAAGACTGACGATGAGCACATATGAAGTACCTCTTTTGACAATATCTTGTGGATTTTCATTCTCATTCCATTTTAGAATCCAGATTGCCTTTGTCTTCTCGATACTATTTAACAAACCCAAAGTAAGAGTTGTAACATTATTTAAAATAATTCCAGTTACAACAAATTTTATATCCGGCCAATTTAATTTTAATAATTTTCCACCAATTAAGCCAAAAATTGCACTGAGTAATGCAAAGATAAAGAAAAAGGCAGGTATGGGCCAAAGATTAATTAATGATTTGATGGTAATAGAGTAAGAAATGTTTGCAAATAAGAAACAAGGCAGAAATATCTTTATTATTAGTGAAGAGAGACCCTATAAATTGGAAATTTTTCGAATAATTAATGAAAAAATAAAAGAGATTATTGTCATACCTCTCAATAATCACACCTCTGGTTCTAAAAGTTTGTGCTTATAGAGAGTGTGCTTATATAAATGTTCAATTTTATATGTAGTATATGTGTTAACATTAAATTCAAAAATTATTGTAATTATAAGTAAATGTGACTATAAGGAGGTGATTATTGAGAGGCTCGACCTATTGAAAAAAAATTGGTAAACCTTTCTAATGTTCGTCGTGATTATTTCAAACTTTGCAGCCAGATAGCCGGCGAGACACACTAGAAGGACCTGCGAACATGACTTTAATAAAATCAAAGTATTGATTAACAATTATAGAACGTTGTATATAAAACATTCCATATAATATCTTAATAAATAATACTTGAACAGAGGCAATAAATATTGGATTCATGATCGTTCGTAAAGTACAAAAAAAGTTTATAAGAAAAAAATATGTACTTCAAAGTGTTCTTTTGAGAGAAATGTGCATATGCATAAAAAATTTATATCTAGCAAAGTTTATTAAACACACTTTTGATTTCCGGGACAGTTTGGGTCCTTTCTATGCAAAATCCCCCAAAATAAAATGATTATGGCTGATTTTTATTTATGTTGTATTGTTGGCGGTAAAATTACTAAATTACGGCATTACAGCATTTTATCAGATGGTTGAATTAGGGTTATAAAATTACCATAATTTTGGGTAATTTTGTATCTTGTAATTTGTAGTTCAATGATTTGTAGATTTCTGGGATCAAAATTTTTGACGATTGAAGAAATTGAGGATTACGAAACAATAATTAATGCTGGCAGAACTTATGTAAAGCTGGTATTTTATAGCAAGATATGTAAGTTATGGCCTAGGTAGAATTAATTACGGCACAGAATCTAATTTACGTAAATATTATATGGCGTAATGTTGTAACGTCATAACGCAGTAACGCTGTAACGCCGTCATGTCGTAATGCAGTAATATCCTAACTATAGATAGGAGTTGGCATAAATTTAAAAATTAATTGTTTTTGTACCATAGGTTACAGTAACCGTGACTATTAAGCAAAATTTTTTATAATATAAATTATTACGATTAAAGATAGGGTGGAATTAGGGTTTGAGCAAGGCTAGAATTGGCTCCGAAACCCTTTGTGCCAAAATCCGAAAGTTTCGGGTTTCAGATTATAGCTTCCGAAACTTTATCCGAAACTCGAAACCTCATTCGAAACCCGAAACTGCAGAACTTCAATTTTCATACAGTATTAGGCCATGCAGACGAACAAAGTTGCTTTTCGTTACCCGACCGAGTGACTTTTTTAGAAAAGTTACAGCTTTTCTCAAATTCTGGGACAGCAAAATATTTCTGATGGTCGAACTCGGAAACTTATCGAATTCAGTCATCAGAACAGCTGAAAATTCTTTTTATTCTTGTATGAAAAAAAAATTTATGAAAATTTTTCTATATGAAAAATTTTTTTAAAATTATAAAATTATTCTTTACGACGCATCGCACCCTATAATTGAATCAAATCAAAAAAACAACAATCGGTAGGTTAGGTTTCGGGTAGGGAAATAATCGGAAGATCTTTTAAATTTCGCAAAGAATTTTTTTCGTTAGGATATAAAGGGCAGTTTCATGGACAAATTCAGAGTTAGAAGCGATTTTTTAAAATCATAATCGCTTCGATTTTAATGTTACACTTGAACATTCGCCAACTAGGGTTTCGGAGTTTCGGATTATAGTTTCGGGAATTTCGGGTTTCAGGCTTCGATTTTTTTTAAAAAATCCGAAACTAGTTTCGGGTAAGTTTCATTTTCTAGGCAAGGCATTCTTATTGAAACATTTACAGGAATTTTTTTTTGTTAAAACGTAACCGATAATTTAATTGCCAAAATTTTAAATTATCACGATTTCTTTTTAAAAAAAAAAGTCGTATTTTTTTGATTTCACGTTACACTTGAACTTAAATTTGATTGGCTTTACGAGATGCGGATACAGTAAACGTGGTTACAATTTATTAATTAATTCAAAATTTAATATGGGTCACCCACATATATATAAGAATATACACTTACGGAGAATTCTAATTATAACGCGTAATATATTGTTATGAAATTTAAAATTTTGGTTAATGTTGATGGTAGAATTATTGAATTAACCATTGCTGTGTCTAATTACACGCACCATAAGTATACTATAAATATTATATGCATTAAGCCTATTACTGTAATGATATACTGTAAATGTTGTAACACTATAATACGATTGGACTCGTCATAAAATTTAAGCGCTGTATCACCCTTAAAAATCTTAGCTAAGGTTGAAAATTACATTTTACAATCTTACATGTAATTTTTACGTAAATTCAGTCAAATTCACATATCACATTATAAAAAATAACAGCTAAACAAAAATTCTGCAAGCATTATTGATAATTTGATTGGTAATTCCTCAATCTCTTCAATCACCGAAATTTTTTTTTAATACGAATTATGTGGATTACAAATTACATGAAAACTAGTTACCAAATTTAAGTAAAATTACGGCAGTTTGCAACCCTAGCCTTAGCATCACAAAATTGAGGACGCAATCACATGATTCCTAAATATTACAATTATCCGGAAAGTTCTATTCCAAATATTTAATTTTATTTTTATTATATTTTTAGTTTATGACAAATAGTTTTAATGAATTAATAGTCGCGAACAGATTTGAAATAAACTGTAAAATTTAATTAAATTGTACAAATGATATCGAATTAAGAATATACAAATTATTATGTTTGCAAGACCATTAAATTTTCCAAAATTAACTAATATAAAATTAAAATTTTACAGTTCATTGTGTCCTGAATTCATTATAGTTATGATATGCTTTTACCATACCGTATTACCGCGAAATAGCGCACACCTGCGCGGTATTTCGAGTACGCGCATGTGCGCTATTTCGAAATCAACCT